GTCTCAGAATTCCTCCTCCTGGGCCTGCCCATTGAAGCAGATCAACGAGACCTGTTCTATGCCCTGTTCCTGGCCATGTACCTTACCACCGTCCTGGGGAACCTCCTCATCATCGTGCTCATTCAGCTGGACTCCCACCTCCACACACCCATGTATTTTTTCCTCAGTAATTTGTCCTTCTCTGACGTCTGCTTCTCCTCTGTCACAATGCCCAAATTGCTGCAGAACATGCAGAGCCAAGTCCCGTCCATCCCCTATGCAGGTTGCCTTGCCCAAATGTACTTCTTCCTGCTTTTCTCAGACCTGGAGAGCTTCCTCCTTGTGGCCATGGCCTATGACCGCTATGTGGCCATCTGCTTCCCCCTGCACTACACCACCATCATGAGCCCCAAGCTCTGTCTCGCCCTGGTGGCGCTGTCCTGGGTGCTGACCACGTTCATCTCTTTGTTGCACACCCTGCTTATGGTTCGGCTGTCTTTCTGTGCTGATAATGCGATTCCTCACTTTTTCTGTGACATGTCAGCTCTACTGAAGTTGGCCTGCTCTGACATTCAGATAAATGAAATGATGATATTTATCTTAGGAGGACTTGTCATTATTGTTCCATTCCTGTTGATCTTTTTATCCTATGCACGAATTGTGTCCTCCATCCTCAAGGTCCCTTCTGCTAGGGGCATCCACAAAGCCTTCTCCACCTGTGGCTCCCACCTCTCTGTGGTGTCATTGTTTTATGGGACAATTATTGGCCTCTACCTGTGCCCTTCAGCTGGCAATTCTACTATTAAGGAGACAGCTATGGCTGTGATGTACACTGTGGTGACGCCCATGCTGAACCCCTTCATCTATAGCCTGAGAAATCAGGACATAAAAGGAGCTTTACAAAAAATCTTTTTAAAGTGGACAATTCAGTTTTCCCTGGGACAGTGACTCTAAAGATTAAAGTATGTTTTCAAACAGTAGGTGTAATATTGACGATGAGTAGTATTCTGAAAAGTCTAGGATCACCCAAGCTCGGCACTGCTAATGCAGCCCCCACAGCACTTCCAGGGGGACTTTTCCCACATGTCACTAGGGGAAGGTCATTGTGCCTCTTGGGCTTATTACTGTATCTTGGGTGTGATGTAGCACAAGGCTTGACATGTAGTGGACCCTCAATGATTATTATTCAATGTTGAATAAATACCACTCAACTTTGGTATTTATTGTACTTAAAGAATGTACAGTAGTTCCTAATTCTCTAATAAATCCAAAGTACTCAGCCACTTCAGTACTTTGTTTCTGCCAAACATATCTATTCCATGAAGAATATTTTCCAATTTATTATGTACACGCTCTTGTAACTTTTACTCTCTCAGATCATCATTTCTCCTCTTGCTAATCGATTCAGTTCTTAATATTATTTTCAGGAGTTGATTGACTTACCTATTTATAATCACATTCTAAAATTATCTCTCTTTTCTTTAACTTAGCAATCATTTGTCAGTTAATGACAAGTTATTTATTTAGATAATATCTATATTTTGAATGAGAATTCCTCTTTTGAATTAAAATAATATGATATGGAATGGACCATAGAGCTTTGTCATGAATTGTTTAATTTATAGACAGTAAATGGTAGCCCATATATAGGCTAAAGTAATACAAATAATGACAGAATAATTAAAATCTATTTATGACTCCCACTTAGATGTTTTTCCTCTGTAATATCATGCTGAAGTTATTTGACACTTTCTTTGTTTTTCTTGTCTTACCAAGTATCTTAAAGACAGGTGCTTTTAATCTCTACAGTGCCTAGTTCTGTGTGTAGAATAAATATTTATTGATTTGATTTAAATGCATTTTTGTGTGTCTTGAAATGAATTTATACCTTAAAGAAACCCAACCTTTTATAAGAAGTTTTCCTAATAATTACAACTTTGACTTCATTTCTTCAAAATATTGTATTGATTACAAAAATAATATATTCTCAATGGAAAATATCCAGACCATAAAGAAATAAATAATAAAGTAGACTGTGAGGGTCCTTCTTTGGGTCATGCAAAACCCACAGCCAGGAGTTGACATTCTGACATGAGGATAATCCTGAGAACTCAGAATTCTTCCCCATATTGCTCATCAAAGGTGTGTCTGGTCTATTTATACGTCACCACCACCCCACCCCAACTGGGATCTCCTGAAGCTGCACCAAAAGTTAGGGAACTCACGCTTTTTCACTATGATGTAAATTTGGACTCCTACCAACAAGGATCAACAAATGAAGGAAGGTTAGTAGACAGTCAGGAGGGAGAGTTAAGCTAAGAGTTCTGAATAAATGGTTCTCATTAGAACAGATTTAATGGAAGATGCAGGAGAATGCTTAAAAGTTCTAAGGCATATTCCTAGTGAGATCCTGAAAGACCTTGTCTTGTTAAACCAAGAATAGTTTGCAAAGAAAGGTGCTCAACAAGAAAGACTTCTTGGGAAAACCCCCTCCTCAATTTTTAAAATAAAAACTTAGGGTTATCACTGTAGAAAATGTAATAAGACTCTAAAGCCAACTTTTAGAACTTCCCCAAATTTACCACACATGCACATTATGTGGAGATCTTATTTAAATGCAGGTTTTGATTTAGTAGGTCTGGGGAATGCCTGTGATTCTGAATTTCCAACAAACTCACATAATATACATGTTGCTGGTTTGCAGACCACACTTGAAGTAGCATGGTTCTAGAAGATTTTTCGGAAGGATTACAGAAAAACAAAAATAAAAAAAGAATTATAAATTATGGATTAAAAGATAAGGAGAAGACAATAGTGGACATTTTCCCACCTACTTAACACTCATTCTCTCTTAATTCTCTCCCCTGGTTTCCTTTTGAGGAATTTTCCTCTCTCTCTTTGTGGATAGGTTTGATGGGTCTGAATCCCAGTACCAGCCTCTCCCATGGCTAAGGAGTGGGCCCAGGATCCAAGACAGGCCAGCCGGACACCCTTTTCTAGGATCCACATATATATGGAGTTCACATAATATATTTTTTCTTTCCTTTAACATTATGCTCTGAGGTTCTTTCAAGTATTCAGGTGTTGCTTTACTTCATGTTTATTGCTGTATAACATTCTGTTGTATTAATATACCAAAGTATATTTTTCCATTCTACTGATGATGGACATTGGGTTTTCAGTGGGTTGTTATGAATAATGCTTCTGTGTATATTCTTGTGTATGTGTCCTTGGTGCACATACCTTGGGTACAAACCGAGGAGTGACACTGCTGAGCCACAGGGTATGTACATTTTCATCTTTACTAGATACTGGCAAACTGTTTTCCACAGATGTTGTACCAGTTTACATTCCCACCAGTGTAAGAGACCCTAGCTGCTCAACATCCTTGCCACCATTCAGTATGGTCAGTCTTTAACTTTAGCCATTCTGGTGGATGTGTACTGGTCTCTCTCTCTCTCTCTCTCTCTATCTTTCTCTCTCTCTCCACCCCCCCATCTTGTTATCTTTATTCTATCAGTATTTGGAAATATTAATTGCTACAGAAAAAAATTGGACATCTGGAGAAAGTGAGAAACTCTGGGTATAACTTTGGTCACTAAAGAGAACTGGAAGATTTCCATGGCAGGGAAATGCCAAGTTACAGTGAGAAGGAAAAGTGCTGTTTAGATGTGCTACCCAGAGTGTGGTCCACAGACCAGCAGTACTGGCATCACCTGGAGCTTCTTCGAAAGGCAGAATCTCAGGCCCCACCCCAGAATCTGATTTAAGATTTAAATAAGAACCCCAAGCTTTTTGTATGCACATTGTGTGCACAAAGTAACACTGCCCTCATATAGGACACCTCTCATTCTAGGAGAGGCAAGTTAAACCAACAGAGGACCAGGACTACATGTCTATATTTTAATAGCAAATAGTGAATCAAAAGTACACAGGCCCAAGCCGGCTGAGTGGCTCAGTTGGTTAAGAGCGTGAGCTCTGAGTGATAAGGTCACCAGTTCAATTCCCACATAGGCCAGTGAGCTGCGCCCTGAGCTGAGCTGCTGCGAGCTGCCCACAGGCGGCGGGATGGTGACTGGACTTTGGAGCTGAGCTAGCTGCGCCCTCCACAACTAAGACTAAAGGACAACTTGGCTATTTCCCTTCCCCAGCTCCCCAACACTATTCCTTTTCCCCAAATCCCCAATAAAATCTTAATAAAATAAAAAAAGTACACAGTCCCTTGCAGGGACTACATAGCACAACTCCAAATGATCTGAGCTCCTAAAGTTGAATTGGGGTTACCCTGGACTCCTTAGCCTCTCAGCCTCTGTGATGCCCTTCTGAAATCAATGAAGGGCTCCCTGGAAAAGTCTGGATGGGCTCATCCCTGTGGGATTCCATCTTCCTCTGGGTCCTGTCCTGACAGTTCTTCACTTTTTATTAGCTCTAGTGATGTCTTCAAAAACATATTTTCAAATATTTTGCCCAGCTTTTATAACTGACCTCAAAGAGAACTTTAGTCCAAATTACCTAGCCTGACATTATAAGGAGCAGAAAAGCCTGTTTGAATCTTTATTCTTTGTACATGAACTGACACTTCCCTTCTCCCCCATCCTCACTTTGAAAGCTTATAGACTATTCTCTTTGCTTCCAGTGACTGAAATTTCATAATAATTGCCTTGGGGTAGATTTATTTTTATCCATTGTGCTTGAATTTGGGCATTTTTTTTTTCAGTTATGGAAAACTTTTAAACTTAACTTGAGTTTTTCTCCCCTCCCCAATTTTCTAGGTTTTCACTCTAGGGGACTTTTATTATTTAGATTTTGAAACTTCTGGTTCTCCTTTACAATTTCTTTCTCTTTTCTTATCCACAAATTTTTATTTTGCCTCTATATACTTTCTGGGAGAATTCCTCACCTTTATCTTTCAATCCTTCTATTGATTTAAATAAATTTGTAGTCAGAGAGTGGGGCCTTCTCAGCACAAAGTCCAGGTCCTTGGCAACTCTAGCATAGAATTGAATGAGATGCCGAAGTAAAGTAACTGAAAAAGTAGTTTATTCGAAGAGATAGTACATTTCAAAGAGTTTGGAGCGGGCCACATGCAAAGGCGAGGCTCAAAAGGCTCAAAAAGGAAGGAAAAGGTAAAAAAGTGTAGCAATGGGCCCTAGACAAAGGCCTTCCCAGACCGTGAAGTCACTAAGGATTTTGCGTGGGCTTCAGACAAAGACATTCTTGAACTGTATGGTCAGCAAGACTTCCGCGTTTAACATTTCCGAATTCCTACCTCACCTGGGAGCCAGTCAGGAACTGGCACAAGGCTGCATGTCCTAATAAGGAACCATAGGCGCTAACCCGGAAACCTCAGGGTATATAGCCCCGAGTCCCGCCCGGGTCGGGGCTCAGCCTCTGGATGTGAATCCGCTGAGCCAGTGCCGGCATCAATTAATGTTGCTTCCCACGCCTTGGTGTCCTGTCTCTTTGTCTGCGTTCCCCGCAACAAAAGAGCAAGGCGTCCAAAAAGAGAGCGGACTTCCCAGGACTTGGAGTTTTTATCCTTTTATCTCTAGAATGGGCTGTTCCCCTAAGGGCGTGGGACCACTTGATTGGCACCTGTGATTGACAAGAGGTACTGCACAGGTGCAAGTGACTGGTCTGGTCTAGTTGGGTATTTTGCACCCATTTGTTTCAGGGGTAGATAGTTACAATGAAAAGAAGTTTTGGGTTGCGAGGGGAGGTCACTGGGTGGTCACATCCTGTGGGACGTGCAGGAATGCAGAGACCCAATGCCTGCCTCTAACTGCCTACCTTTTTCCCCCCTTGAGAGATGAGATCCCCATAAAATCTCTATGGGAAGCTGAGGGACAGGAAGTTTCTTCTTCTGTATCTGCTTCCTGCTGGGCAGGGGCGTAGAGCTGTCCCTGCCTGTTGGGGGATTCACGGAACTCTCACCCTAGCTGATCTTA